CCCTCCATCTCCCACTAGGTGGAAGTTAAGTGTTCTCTAATTAGTTAAGTGATAGCCTCCTTTGAATACAGTACCTGTATCTCCCTGAATTGGACATTCTACCATGGTCCATTCCATTCTCCTGTTCAGGACATACTTGGTGATTCAAGGAGCAGATGGAAATGCTGTGCTCATCCTGGAACGACAGCTGCCTTCAGTAGATTAAGTGAAGATGTCGACCCAATGTGTGGCAGCCATGAAAAAGGCAGATTCTAGGGAGCCTTTGGAACAGAACTGAGAATGAAACTGCTAATTATTACAATGCCGTTGAACAAATCTATGGCGAGGCTGCATTTGGAATATTGTGTACAGTTCTGGTTGCCTTACCTCAAAAAGGATATTGTTGAATGGCAAAAGACTCAGAAAAGGGCAGCCAAAATGATCAAGGGGATGGCAGGACTCCCCGATGAAGGAAGGTTGCAGCGTTTGGGTTTTGTTTTTGTTTTTAGTTTGGAGAAAAGGTGAGTAAGAGGGGGCATGATAGAAGTCTATAAAATTATGCACAGCCTGGAGAAAGTGGATAGAGAAAAGTTTTTTCCTCCCTCTCTCATGACACTAGTACTCATGGACATCTAATGAAGCTGAATATTGGAAGATTTAGGACAGATTAAAGAAAATGCTTCTTCATGCAGTACACAGGCAAACAATGGAACTCGCTCCCCCAAGAGGCAGTTTGGATGGCTTTAAAAGAGGATTAGTCAAATTCACAGAGCAGAAGGATATCAGTGGCTACTAGTCAAGATGGCTAACCTCTACCTCCATACATTGGGGGCAGCCATGCTTCCGAGCGCCAGGAGGCGAGAGTGCTCTTGTACTTGGGTTCTGCTTGCCATTTTCCCACAGGCATCTTGTTGGGCAATGTCAGAACAGGATGCTGGAGCAGATGGACCACTGGCCTGATACAACACACCACATTTGTACCTTGGGTCTTGAACGCCTTGGCTCCCGAACAAATCGGCTCCCGTATGATCGAAACCCAGAAGTGAGTGTTCTGGTTTTTGAACGTTCTTTTGGAAACCGAACGTCCAGCGGGGCTTCCGCAGCTTCCAATTGGCTGCAGGAGCTTCCCACAGCCAAACAGAAGCCACACTTTGGTTTCCGAACATTTTGGAAGTCAAATGGACTTCCGGAACGGATTCCGTTCGACTTCCAAGGTACGACTGTATTCTTATTCTCTTATGTAGTGTGTGTGTGTGGTTAGGGTAGGGTGGGGTGGGGGGTGGGGTGTATGTGTAGTGCCCACCCATACTGCAGCCTACCAGAAGAGGTATCATTTGCCAAGCATGGGGTGTTGCTACTCCTTAAAGAGGCTGCTGCCACTAGCAATTTGGCTTCCTCCCTCTGGTTCTGCTTCCAAGCGTGATTCAATTAATTTAGGTAGGTGTCCCTAGGTGGCAGAACAGCAAGCATGGTGTTTCGATTTAAGGACTGAGTCACATGGACCTGTCCTTCCTTGCCCCTCCATGGTTGTCTACCTAAGCTGCTGCTGCTTCTTTGGGTGGAGCAAGCACGAGAGTTAAAGAAGGGCTTCTCACTTTCACTCTGCCCTATGCTCCTCTCATGCTTCCGGCTTGACTTCTCTGCCTCTTCCCCTAGCAAGAGGGACTGGTGTGACCTGTGTAGGTGTATTCAACAGCTCTTGGTAGTGGAGGGCTCTGGATCCTTTCCCCTCCTATCTGCTTCCTGCGATGCAACCTCAGAGCAATGGCCTCTTGGCGAGTGGACAATGAACACCCAATTAAAATGTCTCTGAATATGTCTTAGTAACAACCACACAGGGTTTCTTGACCTCCCACCCCCAGATTAAAGAATGCCACTTGAAGAAATTGCACATTCTGAGCTTTCAGCCAAGCTTGGAATAACAGCCCAGAGAAGCAGCCCCCCTGCCCCCTGTTCTCACCTAACGTTTTTTGAGTTGGGTGATAGTTCAGCATGCCTCAACCTGCATTTGTGTAGGATGTGAAGCTATCAGTGTTTTAGCAACATTTCCGTTAAATGCTCTGGCAGGATCATGTATTCTGCAGCACCTTTTTTTGCTTTTGCTTTTTTTTTTTTTTTTTTTGCAGTCAGACTAGTGTGGCCTCTCAAACTTATATACAGTTCATCTTAGAACATTTGCCTCCTCTTTGGGACACCGTTGTACACATGCACATCTATCATAGCTGTCAGCATTTCCCTTTTTTAAAGGGAAATTCCCTTATTCCGAATAGGATTCCTCACAAGAAAAGGGAAAGGTTGACAGCTATGACATCTATGCCTCCATCGATCTAAAAGATTTATTATATTACCTTCACCATGAAGTCCAAAAGCAGGTCACCACAATACTGTCTAACCATGCAATTAAAAACGAGTGAGACAGTTAATGCAATTGTCAAAAGCAACCAAAAGAAGTAAATTCCCAATGAAATCGGCAAGTATAGGTGAAATGAAACAGAAATGCTGTATCCCACAATCAGTACTTTAACCTCAAAACACCACAGAAGTTGAAATGCCCCTGCTGGCTGACAGGCCTGCAGCTTTCAAGCCTCAAATTTTGGAACTTCTGGCTGAATGTAGAATATCTGGAATGTTGCACCCAACAAACTATTTCAACCATGCCTGATAAGAATTCAGGTCAGATTGGGGAAATGCTTGGCTGGGAGAGAAACTGTTTTCAAACTGGAGCAGGGGGTTATTGGACTTCAACCCAAGACAGCCAGGTTGCCCAGGGTGGTGTGTGTATGTGTGCATGCGGGGACGGGGAAGGGGTGCAAAGCAGGGTTGGCTCAAGGAGGGTGGCATGGGAAGTTCAATAACATCTGGAGGGCAGAGGTTCGTCTCTCTTTCTCTACCCCTTCCTCCATTAGATGACACCGTTGAGCTCTAAAATGCTCTCTTACACCTCAAGGACTGAGGTTATGTACACAGTGCTATTTTTCCTGGCTCCAGTATGCTCCCACCACTGGTATAGAAAGGTATAGTAGTAAAGGCCCACAAAAATATCTTGCCCATTTGGATATTGTTGTTCTTAATTGTTTTGCTGCTGCTGCTGCTTTTAACATTGCTGTCCACCATTTTGTCCTTTTGTTACTGTTCATTGCTATTTCACAGAATCATAGAATTGTAGAGTTGGAAGGGATTCCTACCCCCATGACTATACTCATTATATTGCTTCATTAGCAAGGTGGGAAAGATGTAAGAAGAAAGGAGTAAAAGAAATATCAGTGGGATATCTTAAGTGCTTTTCAGTAATGCACAAGTCTTCTCTAGTCCATAGGATATGTTGGGCACTTTCGAGAATGTATTCTTCTCCCGCAGTGCTGGGCTCAGGAGCAAATACCCAGAAAGCTACAAGTTAAAGGGCAATCCCATGGTTTCAGTCTGTTAACTAGTTATCTGCTTGTCTGAGCCAGCACTGCCATGCCACCCTCTTCCCTCCACGCCCCTACTGATTTATGACATTCCTTTAAAGGTATAAATACTGAAACATTCTTCAGCTTCAGGCACTACAAAAACAAGGGATTCTTCAAAGGTTCCATCTCTGATTTTGACAACCAACTGAAGAAACACCAGAAGAAAAACAGTGGCTTAAGAGGTAAATAAAAGCCTCTTTTATGCTATATTAAAGTAACGCTTTGGACGCAGAACGAGTGCTTTTGAAATATGCATGTGACACTAAAGACATTTAAAAATGCTTTTAGGTCATCAATAATTAAAAGCTGCGGAGCCATATAGAGAAAATGCTTCATTCTGCTTGATGTAATGCATTATTAACATACTTCTGTATGTGGATCAATAAAACCTATAACTAGAGCTGTCAAATCATCCTCTGTCTTTTTATAAAACAAATGTACACAAATTTGCATATTAACAAAACCTCTGTAAATTTGTCCTTTTGAGAATATTAGAGGAAATGCATTGTTCCTCTTAGATGTGAAAAAGGACCTCTTTAAATGTATTTTATTTTGACCAGTTTGGAAATCTTGAAAATGCAGTAAAACACCACAGCCAAAACAGGTCCAAAAAGGCACAAGCTGAAACCTCCTCTATATTATGGAAGGTCCATGTGAAAAGATGTTCAGTCATATTTTAGGGTACAGTTCATAGCAGCTTAAGAAGGGCCCGACTGAACCAGATCAAAGGCCCATCTTGATCAGCATTCTGGAATTAATTCTGACTGAAATTATGTACATTGCAATGTATCATCTGAAAAGCATGAAGGGATTTTTCTCATCTAAACAGACAGCATCTCTAAATGGTGGGGCATTCTCTCTCTCTCTCTCTCTCTCTCTGTGTGTGTGTGTGTGTGTGTGTGAGAGAGGAGAGAGAGAGAGAGAGAGAGAGAGAGAGGCAGACAGACAGACAGACAGAGACTGTTTTCTATTTTCTGTGGGGAACCTGACCCTCCAGATATTGCTAGACTGCAATTCCTGGTCATTGGAGCTGGGATAGCTCAGTCAGTAGAGCAGGGTCGTGGGTTCAATTCCCATGTTGGGCTAAAGATTCCTGCTGTGTTGCAGGGGGTTGGCCTAGATGACCCTTGGGGTCCCTTCCAACTCTACAATTCTGTGATTGGCCCTGCTGGCTGGGAGTTAGCCAGCCAACGTATGGGAGGGGGAAACAGGTTTCATATCCCTGCTTTGGAATACAGAGATGAATTTGGTCACCCCAGATTATTTGAAAGCAGAAAGAGAATTCCTGTTAACCGTAGCCTCCACATGCATTTTAATATATATAAAAATTCTACTTCCCACACCAAAAGAAAAGCCAGCAGCTTGGAATTTGGTTTAATGCACTGCTAACTGCTTCCTACGGATGCAAATGCACAACACATATAGCCACTCCTTTTCCAGTGCCCTGGGCCTATTGAATAATTCAGAAAATAAAGCACAAGTTTGTGCTCTTCTGTTTGCCATGGAGATCATCTCTGAACTGTTGTGCTCCCCCTGCCCCCGCCCAGATTCCCTGCTTTAGTCTACCCTTCCAGTAAGACGAGGCACTTATCATATTAGAATGCTTGGGAAACAGAGTGGCATCTACCAGTCTATATTTAGCAGCGGCAGCCAAAAAGCAGCTGAATCAGCTGACTGGAAGCTGCTACCCTGATGTGCAGCCTTGGTTTAGACAGCAACACACTCAGTGCTGGAAATCAAGGAGAACAGACAGCGCAGAAGAGAGACGCTGAGCCTGGAGATTTCGAAACAGTCCAGCCATAGCTGCCACAAACAACAGTCAGGTAAGAAGGGAGCAAGAGCGTTCTAACAGAAAATGTGGTCGGTCATAATGAATGTTGTGGTGAGAATTTAGAGCTCAAAGGAGGCAGGGCTGGGGGGGGGGGCAGGGAATAAATATACAAGTATGGATTAGGCCACTGTTGCCAGCTTAGTGCTTGCCATTTTTGTGACCAAGGAAGCAGGAAAAACCAGAGGGTGCCTGGAGTAGCGGTGGAGGAAGGGAGCCACATTGTGACCTCTGTTCATAATAACCGCGGGAGCAATAATGCCAGGGAGATCTTTATCTGGTGTGTTTGCCAATCCTACTGATGTAAGCAAGGCTTACTACTAGTGTACTACTACGCTGCGCCAAGGACCTGAGGTGAAAAGGTCAGTTACCTCGGGGTTTCGATGCATCGTGGGGCTACGACATCAAGCCTAATTCTAGGACTTTCTCCCCTGTTCCCGCCTCATTTCCCCAACACCCACTTGGTGCAACATCTTGCCTGATGAAGCCTTCAAGAGAAATCAACAGCTTAGTAATTTGTGACATTTTGGATACTCCTAATAAAGGCACTGCACAACTGTGGGAGTTAATAAAGGGAAGAGGAATACACACAGAGAGAGAGATTAAGATGCTAAAACTGCTTTTAAAGTAAGCTTTCCCCACACCAGCCAGTAAATACTGAATTTTATTGCCTTTTTTTCTTATCAAGTTGCCACTGTTACATTTTGCATTTCTTCACCGACTCCTTGGGGCTGGTTCCCATCTTTCTGTCATCTGCCCACCTCCCTCTTTCTTCAGCCTGGAGCCCCCCATCTTTTTGGGACTACAACATGGTGGGCACCAGGTTGGCAAAGGTTGGCATAGCGCATCAGGAAATCTAACCACCGCAGCAGGTGAGGGAGAGGGTCTGAGGAAAGGGCCAAGGGGAGAATGAGCAGGAAGAGACATGCCTCCATTTTCTCTTGATTCAACTGGAGATTTAAATGGCAAGAGTCCACTGCCTGTGGCAGTCCTCTTAAGGACTACTAAAGTGAAAGCTTTCCTTTTAAGCGACAAGACATAGCAGTTTGAGAAGAGCAATAAAGCTCTCACAGCGTACCTTTAAAGCACATGACTTCCCCCAAAGAACCCTGGGAACTGTAGTTCACCTCTCACAGAACTGCAATGTCTGACAGAACTACAATTCCTCTTAAAAGCTGCAGTTCCCAGGATTCTTTGGGGGAAGCTATGTGATTTAAATGTATGGTGTGGGTGTGACCTGAATTCAGTGTCCCCTGGGCCCTGTGAGTAAACAGGAAAACGTGGAAAGAGCTATTCGTTGTGCAGTTGTAGGTCTAGAGAGCTGTTGAGTAAAGTGTTATAGAAGTCAGGGCAACTGCTATGGGACATATATCCTTCCCATATCAAGGAGAAAGGAATTATCCTTTGGAGGTAGAACTACCCCAGGCTTTTAAACTGGTTTGAATCTGCCTTGTATTCCCTGGAAGAATCTTGGGAATTGTAGTTTGGTAAGACTGCTGAGGGTTCTCTGCAATTACCCTGGCTAAGATTTGCTTTGTTGCCATATCCAATATTTTGTGGCTCCTTGCTCCTGAATTTATCCCCAACTCCTGGACTGACTGCACTTGCTACCGAATAGTTTCTGGCTCCAATTTAAAGTGACGGCTTTGTTCTGTAAAACCTTAAATGGCTCAGGACCACAATGCATCAAGGACCAACTCTCCCCATATGAATGGACCCAGACCTTGTGACCATCCTCTGAGGACCTCTCTGTGTGCCTCCTCCATTAGAGGTCCAGAGGGTGGCAACACAAGAAGGGGCCTTTTCTGTGGTGGCTTCCCATTTGTGGAATGCTCTCTCCAAGGAGGCTTCATTCATATTGCTAAGTACCTCTTCAACCAGGCCTTGGGCTGATTAAACAATCTATAGTATTTTAAATGTGTTGGGAGTATTGATGATGGCGGTGTAATGTGTTATGTGATTTATGTTGTAAACCACCCTGTGCTCTTCAGATGAAGGGTGGCATATAAATCTAATAAATTATAATTACAGGCTTGGGGAAACCCAAAATTTGGCAGAGGTACAAACTGCTTTAGAAAGAAAACACTAACCCAGGGAAATAGTTTATTACTAATATTTGGTTAACAAAGTTTGTATGCTCTTTTTCAACCATAATGGTTCTCTTACTGTCTTTTTAAAATGTGGTGGGAGGTGCAGTGCGAGGGATATGATTTGTACGTTTCCCTTTCTATGGGTGGAAAGGCCCACTCCTGTTGCTCCTTCACTGTGCAGAAGGAGATTTGGATCCACTGGAGTATGGATTCCCACCCCATGGAGCTCATGGGGAGAACATAGGTAAAGGTAAAGGGACCCCTGACCATTAGGTCCAGTCGCAGACGACTCTGGGGTTGCAGCGCTCATCTCGCTTTACTAGCCGAGGGAGTTGGTGTACAGCTTCCGGGTCATGTGGCCAGCATGACTAAGCTGCTTCTGGCAAACCAGAGCTGCGCATGGAAACACCGTTTTCTTTCCTGCTGGAGCAGTACCTATTTATCTCCTTCACTTTGATGTGCTTTTGAACTGCTAGGTTGGCAGGAGCAGGGACTGAGCAACGGGAGCTCACTCCGTCGCAGGGATTTGAACCACCGACCTTCTGATCGGCCCCCCATCCCTATTCTCAAATAAACATTTTCTCAAATAAACACCACAGAAAGGGGAAGGGGAAAAAGAAAACACAACCACCTCGTCCCAGTCCGAATCTTCTGAATTTAGTAGTTCCTCCACCTCAAATTTTCCTCATCTCGTGGGATCCCTTTGCCCTATCTGGTTATTTATCAAATTGCTATTCTATTCTCCCTCACACCCATAGGAGCAGAGGATGGCACCCAACCAAGTAACAAAACAGTGAAAAAATAAAATAAATCTTGTTTAAAATATCAACTATGTTTATTTAAAAAATAAAATATATAAAACACTCCACAAGCATAAACACTTATATATCAGGAAATTTATGTTCAGTACAAGGGTTAAGCAGTGTTTCCAAACTTGGCCCTCCTGCTATTGTTGCGACTACAATTCCCACCATCTCTGACCACTGCTTCTGATAGCTAGAGATGCTGGGAGTTGTAGTCCAAAAACAGCTAGAGATCCAAGTTTGGAAAACTCTGGGTTAAACTATCAGGGCTGTCTACAACTAACCAGCCCTGCTAGGAGAAGCCCACAAAGACTTCCATGCAACAGGGCTTTCATCCCTCTCCTTCCTCCATGCTCCCCTTCAGTTGCCTCATGGGGCTGAGGAGAACCCTCAGAACAGCGCACAGGGTGAGGAGAGGGGAGATTCAGGCAAGTACAAACTTGTACAACTTGTACCAACAGAGTGATAACCTTAGATCATGGGTAGACAAACTAAGGCCCAGGGGCCGGATCCGGCCCAATTGCCTTCTAAATCCGGCCTGTGGACGGTCCAGAAATCAGCGTGTTTTTACATGAGTAGAATGTGTCCTTTTATTTAAAATGCATCTCTGGGTTATTTGTAGGGCATAGGAATTCGTTCACCCCCCCCAAAAAAAATAGTCTGGTCCCCAACAAGGTCTGAGGGACAGTGGACCGGCCCCCCACTGAAAAAGTTTGCTGGCCCCTGCCTTAGAGCTATACTGAACTCCTCCCATAAAGGTAAAGGTAAAGGTAAAGGTACCCCTGCCCGTACGGGCCAGTCTTGACAGACTCTGGGGTTGTGCGCCCATCTCACTCAAGAGGCCGGGGGCCAGCACTGTCCGGAGACACTTCCAGGTCATGTGGCCAGCGTGACAAGCTGCATCTGGCGAGCCAGCGGAGCACATGGAAACGCCGTTTACCTTCCCGCTAGTAAGCGGTCCCTATTTATCTACTTGCACCCGGGGGTGCTTTCGAACTGCTAGGTTGGCAGGCGCTGGGACCGAACAACGGGAGCGCACCCCGCCGCAGGGATTTGAACCGCCGACCTTTCGATCGGCAAGCCCTAGGCACTGAGGTTTTACCCACAGCGCCACCCGCGTCCCTGAACTCCTCCCATAGAGAACTACAAAATCTACCAATAAAATTTATCCTGTCCCACTATCATCCACAAACACCTATCATTTTACAGAAGATCCTTTCACCTAACAAGCATGTTGCCAGCTACAACACACACGTGCACGTGCACGCGCACGCACACACGCGCACACACACACACAGCAAATGCAAACCAGCTTATAATTTTCACAAACGTATTCTGCTTCAGCAGAAACTTTCCATTTATTAAGCTATGATGCTTGCTTATAAAGTGTGACCATTACAGCAACATCTTTGTAGTGCGTTCCCACTGGCTAATTATATCCTGCATATTCTTTACAGTAATGGCTCCCCGGATAAGACTGAACATAGCAAAGCCTCTTCCCACCATAAGTGAAGCCCTTGAGGATATTCTAGATGACATAACAAGCAACACAAAAGGTTTTGGAAATGCTTGCACGAGTCCAGATTCTTCTTCTGGTGAAGACTACCTTCAGTCTATCTGCCAGCTGGCAAGACCTACCTTCCCAGTACTACCAGAGAGTCAGCGTAAAGTTCAAGATACAGAGAAACTGGGAATGCTGCATAATAGTCACAGGGTCTTCAGCTTGTCTGAGACACCAAAAATGGTCTCCAGGTATAAAATAACTGACATTCTGCCTAATGTGAGGACATTCGAAAGAAATAGCTCCATTCTAGATCGTATCAAAACCTACTCGAGCTCTAAAGTCGACCCGCTAGAAGAGTTGTACACGGAAACTGAGAGGACTCATCAGTGGAGATATCCTAATGGAAGTGAGAACACTGACCATTCACAACATAATTTTCAAGGCATCGGTGTATCTGAACCTCAAGAAAAAGCTATGGAGAAACCAGGTGCTGTCAGCTTCCCCAGACTTCCCTCCCCAAGACCAATGCAGAGAGAAAACAGCTGCCCAGAGCTAAAAAGTCTGAGAAACCAAGGCAAGATGCCAACGCTGGAAAGTAGCCCATATCAGAAAGAGACTGACCCGCTCATTGTTAATGGTAAATCGATCTGGCTGCACCCACCCAGAGAAACTCCACCAGACACCAAGATTTTGAGATATTCACAAAGGGGGCAGCAGACTCTGAAGGCAGCAGCTTTCCCTGAAAGAGAGCAGCAGCCAAAGCCTTCCATTTATAATCACAATGTGAAGGGAGAGGTGAGCAACCGAGCAGGCTGTGTGGGATACTTCCACGTTGACAAAAGAAACACAAGCTGTGACTGGATTTCAGAATACCAAAGTGCTTGGAAAGAAGCAAAGGTGAGAGCTTGCCTTCTGCCTGCCATTGCAGAATCATGAATTGCTGCTTTATGCGAAGAAAAGACGGAGTGTTTATGTGCAGCCACTGTCCGCTGCAACGTGCATTGTCCAGATGAGCTGGAAAACATTCAGAGCTTCAGAGTATCAAGTGTGGAGAAGAAATTGCAGCGCTGAAAGGAGAATGCATTGCAGACTCGGTGATTTTAGCTATTCAGATAATGAGTTGTAATGATTATACATTTTGTAACCCCTTGTATCTTTGGCTCTGTGGAAATAGATGGTTCCCCCATCCTAATTAAGTTCCTCTCTTAAGTGCGCTCAGAGTTCAAATATACAGTTCTGTAGAAGCATTTCTTGACAGCAGAATTTTATAATTCTGCATGTGCAGATCCTGCACAGAAATATTACCTGTGCAAACATTTTTAAAAAATTAATCTAGAAAACAGAGTGGAAATACATAGGCTTCATCTACCCACCCAAAGAGCAACTTCAGTCTTGCTGGATTTTTACTATCATCGCTACCAATGCAAAATAGAAAACTAGTCCAGAAGGGCCTAGAAGCAAAGGCCTAAGTTAATAAGGGCATAAGGACACAAGAAAAGGCCAGCTGGATGAGACCAAAAGGTTTGTTTAGTCCAGCATCCTGTTTCCCACAGTGACCCACCTGGGGAGCCCCCAAGCAAGGCACAAAGTCCATAGCTCAGTGGCTGAGCATCTGCCTTACATGCATTGAACCTTACAAGTCCCAGGTTCAATCCCCAGCATCTCCAGGGAAAGTTGGGAGGACTCCTACCTGAAGCCCTGGAGAGCGGCTGCCAGTAAGTGTAGACAACCCTGAATGGGATGAACCAATCGCCTGGCTCAGTATAACACAGGCTCCACCCTGTTGGTGGAAATGTTCAAACAACAACATGCTGCCTCTCAAAATGGAGGCTTGATATAGCCATCATGACTAATGGCCACTGACAAACCTTTATCCGCCGTGAATTTGTCTAACCCCGCCTTAGAGCCATTTAATGACAATCACATATTGTAGCTTCAAGTCCCACAACTTAATTAATCTGCTGTGTGAAAAAGTTGTCTCCCTTGATCGTCAGGTTCCCAGGTAGATTATATACTCATATGTAGAAGTTGCAGTGTCAGCTACTCAGCATTCCCTGTTGCCTGTTCCTCTTAGCCTTTGTCATTTCTCCCTCCCTGCCTTCCTTTTTATAGGGCTTTGGCCCTGCCACTCAGCTGCCACTTCCTTGGAGGAAGTTGGGTCCCAGCTGCTTCCTGAACAATGGTCCAACAACCCTGTAGCCAGCTCCTGTTCACCTCCATCAGGTTACATCTGCTAAGTCATATAAACAAATACTTTTTAGTTGTTCTGTAAGCATAATAACGAAGCAACATTGTCTTTGGCTTTTGGTTACTCTAGTCTAGAATAAGCCGTAAGGGAACACAGTACTTTCTTCACTGCACTGAAGCAGAGGTGTGAAGTTCCTGTTTCTCTTAGAGAGGAGGAGGCGACCTGTCGTTTGGTCCAAGGGAGAGAAACAAGCTGGTGCTTGACACCTTTTGGTGTCCAGCTCTAAGTGGCTCCCAGAACCTTTTCCTCTTTTTTTACACTTACATGGAAAGTGATGTTTTAATGCAGCTTATGTCTATTGATATAAAATCCGTAAACAGAAGGCTGGTGACTCTGTTTCGCTTTAATTTGGAGGGACCAAGCAAGACTTGCCTGGAGGTTACTGCTCATTTTCTCTGGCATCAGCTGACCAGGGAAGTCAGGCCTGCCAGTACCTATCTGAACTTCTCTTGCTACTTGTCTAGTGTTGTTATTTAGGTTTTTTAAAGAAACAAACCCATTTTGCATTTGCAACCCAGCTGGCAGTATGCCATCCACACACCCCAGCATGTTGCACTACTACTTTCTGCATCAACATTATTAGCAATTAATTTTATATTATGTCCAGTATCCAGCTATTACTGTTCAAAGGGCTGCTTCTCATGCTATCACATTGGCAAGTATGGGATATGGGCCTTTGGTTAATTTGATTACATCTAACTTGGATACACATTTCTCTCTGTCTCTTCCTAGTATGTACATGTAATGTGGACTCAGAACTAGCATGTGGCATGTACGTAAGGCAAGAACTGTGTCTCGCTTTGATTTGTTGGATATATGCTATCCACTAACTTTGCAATGTTTGAAGTGGACCAAAGAGAAACCCTGCAGTTGCCATGTTGTGCAGTTGGCTGTTGTTAAGTGTGGCCCAAAGAGGCCATTTATTTGGTGTGCTGTTCCAAGAAACCTTGATTTTTAAACATTATACATATGAGGGGTATCAACATTTACAAACCCATCCCTCCTTGTGTTGGAAGAGGTGATATGAACATTCATGTCATGTCAGCCTTGACTGATAAGGAAGCCTCCATTCTGAATGGGGTAAGTCGGAATCTTGTCTCCAGTATTAGTGCAAAATCATTATGTCAGCTGGAAATAAAACCTCACCAGTCCAAGAACAAAGTTGCCAGCATATTTAGTGGTATAGTCTGCAATCCTAGAGTCACTTAACTAGGAGTAAACCCAGTTGAAGAACTCAATAGCACTTACATTATAGGATTGCTGTGCTAGCTGCCTTCTTTATACTTATGGTACAATGGGCACTAAGTCACTTCAGACTTCAGATGGGGAAAAATATTTTTAAGGCTCCCTTGTTTTGTCTTCAATCTCTCTGCAAATAGAAACCCAGCACAGCAAGGAAATAGCTGGCAATTAAACTTTTCTCCCTGGTATGATAGGGTGGGGTGGTTTTTTTGTTCAACTAGAGGGAGCATTTGAAAGTAGTACCCACTTGTGTTTGCCTATACACATTCACACACTTACAAATATCATGTAGGGTGATTTCTTTTTCCAGCTTAGCCACTGGCAAACCTCTTGATTTCAGTAAGCCCTGTAATTTCATGACCCAGTTTCTAATGAGGCCACTAATGACAATTCATTCCTGTTTAAATGTGCAGTGAATCAAAGGGTTGATTATACATGACTTGTATATTTTTGCCATGTGCCATCTACAGCGACCCATGTAACATATATAGATTTCTGTCATTGTCAAACTCCTAAGAGCATAGCACATTGCAAGCTAACTATATTGCGCGCTTCAGAAGCTTAAAAGAGACATCTCATCAAATGTGCAATTTACTATATCGTCATTATTGAAATGCGCTTACCAAAAATGTTCTAACTAGAATCAGTGCTCATTCATGCTTTCGGTTCAATCAATAGCTGAAATGAAAAAGCACAGACATTTCCATGGTGTTTACTGCTAATCAAGCTTGTGCAGCCTTTGGGGGAACGAAAACTGATAACAAAATCAGTTACATGGTCCAAAAATGCAAATTGCTATAAGCATACGTGGGACAAAGCTCGTAAGTCACTCCCCGCAGTGTCATATGTCTTTGTGAGCTGCCTTGTGGATTCTGTCGTGAGCAGAAGGCAGGGTAAAAATAAAATTAATGTTATGCTCTAAAGCTTCAACCTACACAAAGCTAATTAGGAGTATGTGCCATGGAAATTGGTGTGACGCACTTCCAAGTAAACATGCATTACTGGGAAGTAAGCTCCATCGCACTCCCTGAGGTTTCTAAGTAAACATGATTTTAGAGCTGGGATGTAAACCCCCCTGGAAGAAAAATGCTTTAGAAAACAAAACCGTTAAGTGTATATGGGAGAAATTGACAGTTAGATCGCTACTTTTCTTTTTTCAAGAGTACAGCTTGACTGATTTGACTATTCCCTTATATTTTTCTGCTGTACCATAATGTCAAAAACTGTGGGACAAATTGCCACCTTAATTTCCGCCCCACAGCTATGATTCTTGCACACTTACTTAGAAGTAGGGGGCAGTTTGTGCGTGCAGGAGTGCCACATCAAAAACTTGTTGCTGCATGTGTGCTTGTATGGGCATACCCACAAACAGAAGTTCCCAATCATCTCACACACCCACTTTCCTTTACCATGGCGTGGGTTTGCACATTCAGCTGCCAGGCAACAGAGCACAGAAAATGCATTTGTAAATCAGGGCAGCAATATAAATCTTGCACAAGAAGGTCGCAGCCAAAGTAATAATCTAAGATGGCCTTTAAGCTTCCTGGAATTGTCTGAAAACAAAGAAAAGTTGAGTCCTCTAGCCATCCAAAGCAGCTAGGAAGCTTTTAAATAGAGGTGCTTCTATAAGTATGCTTTACTTTTTTTTTAAGCACCTCTTCCTGTCTCGCTGCTCCCACATATCTTAATCCGATTCTGAATATCCCTTCAATGTCAAAAGTGATTTGCAAGTGAAATGAAATGCATGGCCAGCATCCCCTGGACCATGCTGAAAGGTTTTTTGTATCCTTGAGATTGGATTTAAGACACTTAGAGCGGCATTTAACCAACTTGTTGCACTAGTGCAGGCATGTCCAAAGTCCATTTTGGGGGCCTAATCTGGCCCACCGGTTAGTTTAATCCGGTCCCTGTGACAGTTTATTTCCTGGGGCAAAATCCTAAAAAAAACCTTAACATCAACAGCTTTGGTTTGCCTCTGGTTGGCCCCCACAGCCCTTCATGTCATCAAATCTGGCCCTCTTTGAAAAAAGGTTGGCCACCACTGCACTAGTGGAAGCTAGTGAAATGAGTTCCTGCATTGCTTATCATGTGGCAGTGGCTTCCTGCGTGATCTCTGAGATCTCGTGGAACTCTTTGTGAGATCTTGCCAGAAGCCAACACCGCATACCCTTGTTGTGTGATGTTGAATTCCACTTGCAGTTGTTGTGTTTGATATTCTTTCCCCATCTATGGTAGTTCTCAAGTTTTTGCTCTGCAGAACACCCAAGCTCTTCAGTCTATTGTTTGGAGATTACAGCCCTTATATGAATGGATTCCTATAGGCCATCCTTGGTCAACCTGAACTACAGCTTTCCTCAGTCTCTGGCAGCATGGCCATGCCAACTGGGCCTGATGGGAGTTGTAGTCCCAAACATATGGAGGGCACCAGATTGGCCAAGGCCTCTTCTGCATTGAAATATATCCTCCCCCCCCCCCCCCAGTATACCATCTATCAAGGGATTTGTGAAAAGTCAGTGCCTAGCTAGCAAATCTGCTGTGCTATATGTAGGATTTTGATCCTGATAACGATGTGTGCGCTTTGAGAATTTATGCAAATAAATGTGTAAAAGCTCTCTTTGCTGTGGTGATTAAAATCACATTTCTCTTATTGTCAGAAAGCACAGAATGAAAAAGGGAAATGGGGAAAGGCAATCTCATGGAACCAGCTGGACTCCCAAGACAGGGAAAATTGCTTCTACTGTTGTTACAACTAAATTCAAATCCAGTTTGTTCTCATAGAATCAGTGTGTTGGAAGGAACCCTGAGGATCATCTAATCCAATCCGCTGCAGTGCAAGAATATGCAGCTGTCCCTTATCGGGACTGAACCTGCAGCCTTGACATTGTCAGCACCACGCTCTAACTGAGCTAGCCCGTTTCATTGTTATACATGAACTCCAGGGGTGCGTGTGTGTGTGTGTCACATTGTGTGTGAGAGAGGGGGGGGGATATATATGGGTGGGGTATAAATAATAAAAATTATTATTATTATTATTATTATTATTATTATTATTATTCAGAGGTATACAATGAACTATGAGATTAGTATTACATGTTTATTGAGAGCTGCACCACTATGTTCAGAAAAGCATTTTTGTTACTAATTTAAACCAGTGCTTTCTCACGCCACCCCCGTCTTCATCAGTACAGGTTTCTTCACCCACAGATCTCCTTACATTCTCGCATTTCAGACGGCCTTCTCTTCCCTTTCCTTTCCTCACCTGAAAAGTTGCTCTGCACTGTTACCTCCACATTGCTCTCTTTTCCCACTCTGTACCCCACAATACTTTTTGTTTTTAATCTCTGCACTACCACTTGTGAATCTGTACTTTCACATACATACACATGCTTCCTTCCTTTTTTGGAGTATGTCTAGCTAAGCTGCTGTAACTCCACCATACAACTTCCTCACTATGTGGTGGCAGCAATCCACAAGGCTCCCCCAGCAATGTAGCACACCAAAGGGAGAACAGGGTGCCCTCCATAGCCCCTTTCATGTCATTGTTGCCTCTCCCACAGCCCTCCATATCATGCACTGGGGCTGTACCACTTGAGCAAGGAGCCATTTCTCTTTGCATAGGCTTTATGCGTTATTTAGAACCCTGATCTTTCAGGCTTTCCAAATTGTGCTGGGACCCTGCACGAGTATATAAAAAGCTCCCCTGCTCCAGAGGCTCGGTCCCTAACACACAAAAAGCTGTGGGAATGGTGATGGAGACACAAGGGCTTGCCACAATGTGGGATAGAATGCCTGAATAATGCTAAAAGGTTAGAGCTAACCTGGTACCCTCCTGAATTTGTGGGACTATAGTTTGCATTATCCCTGACCACAGGCCATGTTGGCTGGGGCTGGTGGGAATTGGAGTGCCACAATTTCTGGAGGGCACAATTTTGGCTGCACCTTTTGGTCTGAGGAATGGGCACACAGGTGCAAAATTAGAAAAAAAGATTAAGAATCTTAAGAGGTAAGGGTGCCTGAAGCAGTGAAAGGTATTATCAACAGTAAACATCCATATTACATGTAGGTCCTGCTATCTGCCCA